CCCCCACCCCCTCCAAGTTTGCTTTTTTTCTTTGGGGAAAAAGTTTTTTCATTGTTATACAGTGTCTCATCACCACCACTTTACTATGCAGCTCTTACTCTTGGACTCTTGTCGTGCCAGTAATACCTAATCATATGTTCCTTTTATACACTTCTCTCTCTCTCATCTGTTTCAATGCCGTGTCCATTATTTATCCCATCCTTTCTTAGTTTCCCCACAACCCCTGTATCAGTCCTGTTCTATAACAGTGGCATTATATAGTATTTACCTTTTTGTGACTGATATCTTTCAGTTAGCATAATGTCCTCCAGGGTGACCCATTTTGTATATTTCATGGGTTCCTTGTTTTTCAGTGCAGCGTAGTATTCCATTGTGTGAATATACCACAGTTTCTCCATCTGTTTGTGTGTTGATGGTTGTTTCCAGCTCTTTGCTATTGTGAACAAAGCAGCAATAAACATGGGTGTGCATGTATCTGCTTGGGTGGCAGTTCTTGTTTCTTTAGGGTGTATTCCCAATAGTGGAATTGCTGGGTCAAATTGTAATTCTATTTCCAACTCTTTGAGAAACATTTGAGGTTTTTTGAGATCTGGCTTTATGTTTTAAATTTTACTCTCAACTCTTAAGTGGTTGAAATATGCTTAACAGTACTCACCCATTGTCTGTTTTTGGGATGGCCCATGAAAAAGTCTTTTTACATTTTTTTTAATGATTGTAGAATATATCAAAGGTGAATGATATTTCACAACACATGAAGATTACATGAAATTCCAATTTCATGTTACTGGGACAGAGCCTCACTATTTGTTTACATACTATTTGTGATTGTTGTTATACTACTGTGACAGAATAAGTAATTGGAAAAGAGATTCTATGACCTACAACACTTAAATATTTACTATTTGCCTTTTTACCAAAACTTTGACAACTCCTAGTTAAAAGCGTATTATTCATTCCTTAGAATTAAAAAACCTTCATGTTAAAAAAAACAAACCCCAACCTTCATGTTAATAGTGGTTTGCTCTATAAATAATTTTAAACATGAAAGGTTTCCTATCTATTAAGGCCATCCTTTTAAAGATGAGTTCTTCTTTACCATAGAAGTGATAATTGCTTCCTCTCTGTTTAAAGAATTAAACAAAAAAAAGAATTAAAAAGATGTTTAGTTTCACTAAGTATCAGAGCAATGCAAATGAAAATAATCCCATTTTATATTCAGGAGATAAGAAAATTATAAAAAGATAATTTTGATTGCCTCCAAAGATAGGAAGAATCAAAGGCTTTCATATTCTTAGAAGCAGGAGTGGTATCCACTTCCTAAACAACACACCTCTGGAAACTCTACGAACTTTGATAAATGACGATAGTTTGTTCAGAGGGTTGCTGTGAGATGTGCTTGACTCATTGGTAATCGACAACAGCCACCGCAGCGCATACTTGTAGTTCTAAGATCAGTGTGCAAAACTTTTTTGGAGAATGTGACTGTGTTCAAGAAATCAGACATGCAAATTACCAGTTCTATTTGGGTTATCTATCAAAGACACTCATGTTTACATAGTGAGATGTGTTCTAGAATGTTTACCACACAGCATTGTTTTAATGAAAAAGAAAATAGGACAAAAGCATGCCTATCAATAGGAAAATGGGTTAATAGTTGTATATGTATATTACAGAACATTGCACTCAACCCACCACCCACAAATAAGCCACAGCACTGCTGTCAAGTAAGTTCTTCATCGCTGTAGATATATATGGGAGGAGACTGAGACTATTGCACAGATCCATGTATTCATTCAACTGTGTGGATCATAATAAATCATGGATAACAGTGAGAAGACTGGAAATTCCAGAAGACTCAGCTGTGCTCACGTGGAACCTTTATGTAGACCAAGAAGCATTTGCTGGAAGAGGACAAGGAGATAGTTTAAAATCAGGAAAGCTATGTATTAGAAATGTTTCCTTTTTTTAAAAAAAAGTTTCCTTTTATATTCAGTATATATGTTGAGCAACTGGACTATATAACATGAAAACTGTGGCATCAGGTTTAGAGGAAGACTCAGCAGCAGCTTGCAATATGCAGATGACACAGCCTTTCTTCTGGAAAGTGGAGGCTTGACACAGTTACTGAAGACTAAGATGCATCTAACTTAAGCCATAGAATTTTAAGTCGCTTCATAGCCATCTGAAAGTTGAACTCCAAACAAGAACCAATGCTTTTGAGTGGTATTACTATCAAGGAGGATTGAATATACTATGGATAGCCAAAAGAACAAACAAAACAATCTTTGAAGAAGAGCTACCAGAGTGCTCTTTAGAGATAAGGATGTGAAACTTGACCTCATATACTTTGAGCATATTGTCAGGAGGAAGGACAGACAAGTTCTTGGGAAAGGTAGAGAATACACAATGAGAGGGAAGACTCTGACTGAAGAGCAGAAAGCAGGTAAAGATTGGATAGCCCTTCCCCATGATGCTTCTAGAGCCACACGAGCAGCAAGAGGTTTACTATTAATTGTTGACTCCAAGACTTTACTCACAATCGTGGTACCGAGAATGGGAAAGAAGGAAGGAAGCTGGAGAGTGGGGGAGGAAAAGAATATCCCCCAATTCAAGTCCAGGTTTTAGCCCAACAGTCCCAAGGTACAATTCCTCAACTAGTCCAGGCTCCAGTTTCAGTTTAGCAAATAGCTTTCCCTTCCGTCAAGCACAAGACAAGCAAAGCCTTTAACCATGGCCTTTATCTTAGGGCTCCTCTGATTACAGCTAGCCACAGCTTCTCCACCACCATCACCAGAATCTTGCCACCAGTCTTCCTCAAGATTGACTCAACTGACTGCTGGTCAGTTTGGGGAGCACTCTCTCTCTCTCTCTCTCTCTTAACTTAGTTCCACAGCTGTTGATGATTTGCAAGACAAGTGTCTGCATTTAAGGTAGTTGGAGACCAGAAAAAGCTAAGGTAATGGCTAAAAAGGCCAACTTTAAGCTAGCACTATAGACTCTCAATAAAATAGATAGATACTGTGACTGCAGCAATCCATTGCAGTACACTGAACATTAAGTTAGTTGTTAGATATGATGAACTGGGCTCAGGTAATTTAAAGTAGTCAAGAGTGTTACCAGTAGCTTTTAGTGTCTCTCAATAGATTACAGCAGTTTTATCTCTGATAATTCCACTAAAGGAAACCTTGTTTACTCTCAGGTATGTTTTTCTGTAGAGAAAATTTCACTGACAACTACTTGCTTTTTGATTAGGGCTGACAGCAGTGAATGTTTATCCGGTACCCAGACAACTCACTTCCCTAGAGCTTGCCCGGTAAGTATATATCATAAGAGGGATTCTTGTTTGAGTCTTAGTACTTAAGAAATGCATGAAGATACGCTGAGCTTCAAAGAATCTGAATGTGTTGAAATGTTTGTATAGCTTGGAGAAAGGTAAAAGGATGAGTGAAATTTTGTAGTCATGCTATTATTGTTAAAGGAAATGTCTTTTTGAAAATTCTAACAGGGAAGATACCTTCTTTGTGGCAGTAATTTTCTTTTTGTTGATTAAATCAGATCATTCCTGATTTTGTTAGATAATAGCTTTTTAAATTTTATTCTTTTCTCTTTCTTTGATACTCTCTTGAAATCTGTAGGTCCAGTTTTTGGAGGGAGATTAATTGTATTCAGATGCTCCCTCCCAGCTTCAGCTCTTTTTGAGTTTTGCCTCCTCAGTATTTCTCAAGTTTATACTCCAGACATACCTACCTAACCACTTCTCTTGCCTCCTAAATCTACATTACCACTCTACTCATTGAAGCCTGTATCATTTCTTGTTTAGACTTCTGTAACAGTTTCCTGATTTTTCTTCTTATTATTAATATAATACCCTCAACCAGACTTCCATGTAGCAATAGAATAATCTTTTTTTTATATGTATGAAAATTTTCTTTTTAAAAAAAGAAAATGAAAAAACAATTTATTTTTTTAAATGTTATTTTATTTCATTATTTTTTGTGTGTACCATCAAATCACATCTGACTGATACAGGAGGAGATTGTTCCTCCTTCTCCAGCAGAGCATCTGGTGGATTTGAACCATGTACCTCTGAGATTGCAGTGCAGCTTCTTGTCACTAGGCCACGAGCTCGCCAACAATTTACTTTTTATATTTAAAGTATAAAACTAGTTTCTCCACTGTTTATAAACCCTTCAGTGATCCTCCAGTACCTGCAGGATATACGTTTCTGAACATAATTTTTATCTGCTCCCAGTCTAGCTTGCCTGCCTTATCTCTTTACTCTTTCTCTCTATATCTGATGCCTCTGCATTACCAAACTGTTGATTATTCATCACACACACACACACACACACACAGTGTTTCCTGTCCTGTCTCTGTACAATAGCTCATGTTGTCATCTGTTGTTTGGAATGTCCTCCTCACCTCCGGCCATTGCACAGCATTCTTCAAATTCTAACCCAGATGTCATCCTCCTTAGGAAGCTCATCTTGATCTTTTACAGACAGCGTGCTCCTCTCCCGAGGCTATCACAGCAGTAACTGTCTTTCTCTTACAGTATTTCATTTGCCTCATTATACAGATAGCCGTGAGGCGTAGAGAACCCAAGTAACGTTTGAAAATAAGCTTTCCTTTATAAGTTCACTGTGTATGTAGTTCTTAACTAATTACTTTAGTTCCTGTTCTGAATTGTCTTTGTTCATGTCTGCCTCACCTTTTCCTATCATGTGTGTATGATCCCAGTAGTGCAAGTCAGATACTTTTTACCTTCTTTGAGCAGGCATCATAATCCAGTATTGTACATGTTCCTGTAATAGCACATAATATGTCCAAGGGGCATGTTCTGGGGATGCCCTGGACATAGTATTCCTGCCCTTTAGGAGCTTATGGGCTGACTAACAACGTAACGAGTTCTTTTCCTCATCTTAAATGCTATATTTAAATTGTTGTCCTCAGAAACCTGCTAGAATGTGTTCCTGACTGGGCCTGTGAAGCAAAGAAGATAGAAATATTAGATGTCAGCCATAATCTCCTCCCAGAGGTTCCCGTGAGGTATGTGTGTGTGTTTAAATGTCCATGTTATATAATTTATGTACATGTTTAAAAAGATGTCATTTTATTTTAAAAGTATGTTCATTTATTTTCTCACTGAATATGGAGTTCCAGCTAAATGCAAGGCAATTTGAGAGCTAAAATGCATCTAATAATGATAAAAATGGTCTTGTACCTCAAGGAACTTAAGAGGGTAGGAGAGGTAACATTTGCACAGACTAGTCCACTGACTCTGGTGGCCTAGTGGCAAGAAACTGCACTGCAATCCCGAAGGCATGTGGTTTGAGGCTACCAGCTGCTCCATGGGAGAAGGATGGGCAGTCTCCTCCTGTGTGATTAACTGCTTTTGAAAACCTGCCAGCCAGGTCAGCTATAGCTCGGTCCTGACTCAATGGTACATAACAACAGTGTGATAAATGATAGCCAGTACTGCTGGCATCAGTTGGTGATAAAATAGTAATAATGGATAATTATATTAGTTATTATGAATTGCTTTGAAAGAATTGGCAAAAAATAAGACTCCAGGAATTGATGGTATACCAGTTGAGACATATTTCAACAAACAGATGCTGCCCTAGATGTGTTCACCACATTTTGCCAAGAAGTCTGGAGGACAACCACTTGGCCAATTGACTGGAAGAAATCAGTATTTGTTTCCATTCCAAAGAAAGGTGGTCTGACAGAGTATGGAAATTATTGAAGATTCATCAACAGTCTGCATTATGCAAATGACACTTCCCTGCTTGCTGAGATGGAGGAGGACCTGAAGCACTTTTTGCAGAAGATCAAGGACTGCAGACTTCAATATAGATTGAGGCTCAATATCAAGAAAACAAAGATTCTTACCACTGGACCAGTTGGCAGTATCATGATAGATGGTGAAGAGATTGAGATTGTTAACAGTTTTAGTTTACTTGGATCCACAGTCAACACTCTTGGCACCAGCAGCCAGGAAATTTAAAAACGTACTGCAAGGGAAAGTCTGCTGTTAGAGAGCTCTCCAAAGTACTGAAGAGCAATGATGTCAGTCTGGAGACTAAGGTACACCTGATATAGGCCATGATCTTTGCAATCACTTGCTATGCATCAGAGAACTGAACAATGACTAAAGATGATAGAAGGAGAATTGATCCCTTTGAGCTGTGGTGTTGGAGAAGAGTATTGAATAGACTGCTAAAAGAACAAACAGGTTTGTCCTCGAGAGGGTGAAACCAGGCTGCTCCTTGGATGCAAGGATTCTGAAGCTTCGTCTGACATACTTTGGACATGTTGCAAGGAGGGACCAGTACTTAGAGAGGGACATCATGCTTGTGAGGATGGAAGGACAGCACAGGAGGGGAAGACCCTCTGTGAGATGGATTGATTCAGTGACTAGGGTAATGGGGTATGTCAGATACAGTGAGATTGGCACAGGGCAGAGCAGGGTTTAGGGCTGTTGTACATAGGGTCACTATGAGTTGCAGGTGACTTGATGGCACATAAAACAACAATTATGAGTTGGGCAGTATTCTGAGAATTTTTCCTTTATTATTTAATCCTTAATCATATGATGTAGGTGCTGTTATTCTCACCTTAAAACATATGTAGTAAATGGGTCCAGGTCACATACAACAAGGAAGTGATGGGAACTGGCATTTGGATGTAATCATTCTTGCTTTAGCATCTTCACTCTTAAGTCTCACTACACTCTATTTTGGAAATTCAGAACTTCGAGTAATGTTTAGCAGAGGAGATGGTGCTTAAGTTGATTATTGTCAGAGAGATAGTATTTCTGTAAATGGAGGCGAAGAGTAAGGTATTCAGGCAGAAAATGACAAACTGAAAAGCCCTAAGGTACAGCACATTGATTAGCACCAAAAGGAGTCTTTTAAAATTAAACTAGAAGCTTTGTAGCATACAGAGTATGTATGTAGCTATTAGAGTCTGTAGGAATCGAGCCTTACTTCAAGACCTGCCTTACTACTTAACGCATTGTGAGATTTCTGGCAGTTAGAGTTCTGTTAACCTGCCTGAGCTTTCATTGTTAAGTGGCCTAACAATTTTAAAACACATACTAAATAGTAGTTTTTATTATAAAAACTTTGTTACTGTTTTATATGAATCACTTATATTAATATTGATAAGTCATTTCATTGAGCTTTCATTGGTGCTGTCGATACCAAAGTCTAAACGGACTTTTTCTAAAAGTGGCTTGCCCTCTCCCCCTGCAGTTTAAATTTGTTCTGTGCTATTTTCTTTTTTTAATTCACCTTTTCCCAAAATGACTATCATGTCTGCCTTGAGAATAATGAATAAACCAAACATACATTTTAGGCTGCTTTCTTGGCTCAGGCACTTGTCCAGAATTAGGCTTTCTTGAAGACTGTGCTCCTCTTTATTGGATTCTGTTAACTATCTGAGGGCTGACTCAGAAGGAAGTATTCCAATGAAATTTTTATTTGGTTCTCTGTACTGTTCTTTGTTAGAATTCTGAGCAGCTTGAGTCTTAGAAAACTGATGGTGGGACATAACCGTGTGCAAAACCTTCCCATGCTGATGGAGCACATCCCCCTTGAAGTGTTGGACGTTCAACATAACTTACTCACCAGGCTGCCAGACACCCTCTTCTCCAAGGCCTTAAAGTAAGTAATGCAGACTAGGTCTTTTTTTAAGTAGCAGTGTGTTTGGTGAGAGATGAAGATATGTTTGCATTTTGAATATGAGAGTAAGATACAGTTTCTTGAGGTAGTAATCTTCAAAGTAAAGTTGAAAAATCACCACATACATTGAAGAACTTTTTTGTGTTTGTTGTAAACCATTTCAAAAAGGTTGAGAAGGTTGAAACTTTCATCTCAGAAAATGAATACAGTTCTGACTTTTTAAAAACCTTTGTACATTCTGATAGAGCTTCCTGCAGCAGTTTTCAGCTTTTGCATTGAAGACTAGAGGACATAACACCAAAGTTACTTCTTAATTGTTTCTAGCTTTATGAGGCTGTCACTAAGTAACATTTTCTATTTTCAGATATTTTTTTTTTAAATTCCTTCTTAGAAAACCATGTTCCAAATACGTTTGCTTTCTCATTGTAAAGTAAAAAGTAAAGTTGTAAAAGATAGACCCATAATCAGGGTTGTCTAATGTGTGTCACCTTTAAATGAAATCTAGTTTTTAGTTGTAACCTTCTATTATATGGAGAAGCGAGCTCTGTCCTCAGTTAGAAATGGAGACAACAAAGAGCCCCAGTCGTAGCTTGTGACAAAGCTCCAGGAGACACGCAGATGCATCCGGTCCGCACGTGTTCTCTGCTAAACAGCATGTACATCTCTTAATGTGTAAAACGTCTTTGGATTTTTTTTTCCTAAAAAGAAAATCTCTGGGAACTCCAAAACTTCCTTGAAAGAAATTTTCTTTATGACTGTGTGAAGTCTTGATATAGTAACATTTGTTAATTAACAGATGTTTGTTAGCAGTACATAATGCTACACATATAGTTGTAGTGTTAGTCTTTGTAAAAGAAGTTTACATCCTTACAATTTGGAGTGAATCATATTTATTTGAGTTTCTGCACAGGGCCCTTTTGGGGCTTACAAAAGGACCAGCAGACAGTGCCTTCAATGAATGTGAAAGCTAGTCACAGGCTTAGAGCACACAACATACGAAGAGTGAAAAATAAATAATAACATTAGCTGCTTTTTATTGAGCATGTTATACTGAGCACTGTGCTAGCAAATTTTTTAATCTTATGCTTTCATCTACTAGATGTATGAAAATGAAAATGAATTCTAGTACTCAGTGTAGACAAAGATGTATGCAAACAGGCATTCTTGTGTACTTCTTGTGGAAGCAGAATTTGCTATAGCCTTGCTAAAGCTCAAGTAAGCAAAAAATAAAAATGTAAATGTATGTGTTTCCTTTGACTGCATAAATTCTGTTGCCGTGAACCCTGCTTCTAGTACCTTCTAGATAAGGACACAAAGGTGCTCCCATGAAGATCAATAATAGCAAACAAATCACCTGTATATCCATTATTAAGGAATTATATGGCAAAATTATATGAAGGCATTAATAGCAGACAAGAATTGAAGGATATGTCTAGGTGAGATATATGTGACCATCTTTATGCCACAACTTTCTAGACTCATAGATATAAGGAGACACTATGTTGGGATTAAACCTGAGGAAGAGCCACCCACGCCTGTATTTGTTTCCTGTCTGCTCTACTTGCTTGAACTGAGTTAAAAAAACTTTGGGTTGAGTAGAATTGGAGAAAACTACCTGGAGAAAATGACTTCTGTCCTAGGATTGGGAGCACAGGAAGGTATGATAGTTTTATGTAAGAAGGCAATAAGTAAGTTAAAAGAAAATCTTTCTTTTAGTCTCAGGTACTTTAATGCATCTGCAAATAGTCTGGAATTTTTGCCCTCCGCCTGCTCTGGGGAGGAGAGTCTGAGTATGCTGCAGCTGCTTTACCTGACCAGCAATCTCCTGACAGACCAGTGTATACCTGTGCTGGTGGGACACCCACACCTTCGGATCTTGCACCTTGCAAACAACCAGCTACAGACCTTTCCGGCAAGGTAAATGCTTGTAAAATTGTGACCTTTGAGACACAGTAATATTGTCCATTTGTCAGACTGCTAGAGCTGTCTTTCTGCGTATTCTTGTTTCATGTTGAGTGAGTCACTAGTGGAATAGAAAAATACCAGCTTTGCAGTTTGTCCCCAGTTTTTATAAGTGTCTTATTTCTCTAATCCTGGTTATTATAGATAGACCAGTTGGCTTTAACAAACAAATTTATCTTATCATTTAGGAAGCTGGAAGTCTGACTCCGGGCATCAGCTCTCTCACTGTTATTCTGAAAGGAGGTCTTTGTCTCTTCAACTTCTGTTTCCTGGTTCTTTAAAGCTCTTCTTGTGTCTTGACATATATTTTACCCCATTTCTGCTCCGCTTGCTTGTTTAATCATTTTTAACAAAAATAATGACTCAGGTACACTCTACACTAATCCTGCTTCATTGACACAGCAAAAAGATAACTCATTCCCAAATGGGCCTAGAATCACAAGTTTAGAAGTTAAAATTCACAACACGTGTTTCAGGGGGATTTAATAAACATTAAATTACAATCAGTAACCAGAAATATTGTAGTTAAAATAGATTTGATCATTAGTTATAATTACCTCATTATGGGCTGACGTTGCTCAACCTAGAAATGTGCAGGCTTTAGGAAATAAACTCTGAAAACAAGTTTTTTTTTCCTTTCAGCACTGCTTTATAAAATGCAATTGAGTCTATTAATTTATTAATTGTACAGAAGAAATACCTGCTGTACGTGAGGTGCTATGTAAGACCAGGAAGGAAGAATAATGAAGTTATAGTCTGTCCTTTTTTTTTTAAGGCAGTTTACAAATCACATTTGGTTTTTCATTTACCATTCATAGACATTTTCTTTTATAATGTTATAATTTTACTCAAACATCCATATACATTTTATAACATTAATGATAGTTTAATTATTGTCTGATCAGTATATTCTATATTGCCTTTCCCTTCACACAGTGTATATATTTATGGCATTTTATTCCTTTCACTCACCCTTTCCAGTCCTGGGAACCATCTATAATTAAAACTGTGTGTAAGCCTCTTCTTAATTGTTTATAATAGTGGTCATGGACCATAACAGTCCCTTTGTGACTTCCTTTGGTTCCATAACATCCTCCACATGCATCCACGGTAAGCAGGTTTTTTTATGCTGCACACTTTATGTGGGGTTGCATCTGCTCTCCTGTGCTGTGTTAATTTCATTTATGGCTGTTCTTGTTTTCTCTATTACTGTTGTTTTAGTGTTGCCTAAGTCTTTATGATACTCCTCTTTTTCATTTTGATGAGACAGTTTGCTCATTTTCTTGGAGATTACCTGTCCTTAAGGAACATAAACTTGTAGACATACACAAACAATTGCATTGTAATGCAGTAAATGCAGTGTTAAATACACCACAATTTATAAAAAATTTTCATTGAAGCATTGCTCCCAATAGCCAAAAGGAGGAAAATACTTAAATGTCATCTAAGAGATCAAAGGATAAACAAAATATATACATAAAATATTACTCAACCATAATGCACACCTGTGTTTATTGCTGCTTTGTTCACAATGGCAAAGAGTTGGAAACAACCCAAGTGCCCATCAGCAAACAAATGGATAGCGAAGCTGTGGTATATTCACACAATGGAATACTATGCTACATTGAAAAACAAGGAACTCAAGAAATATTATGCAAAATGGGTGACCCTGGAGGACATTATATCTAGTTATAAAAGGACAACTACTGCATAATTCCACTGTTATAAAACAGGACTGACATCAGGTTTGGGAGGAAACAAAAAAAAAGGGGGGGGATAAATAATGTACACTACATTGAAACAGATGAGGGAGAGAACTGTTTAAAAGGGATATATTATTAGGTATTATTTGCGTGACAAGAGTTCAGAATAAGAGCTGCATAGTAAAGTGGATTGGGGGGGTTTTTTTACCATTGAAGGATTTTTTTTTTTTTCTTTTCAAAGAGAAAAGCGAACTGGGAGGGAAGGGTGGACAGGGAGGAAAATGTGTTAACAGTGAATGAATGGAAATCCAAGTCCTCTATAATCTTTCATTAAAATCTCAATTAAAAAAAATGTGACATGGATTCACCAGGAAAATAAAAGTATTACTCAACCATAAAAAGAAATGCAGTTCTGATTTATGAAATGTTAAAAGATTATGTTAAGATGAAATACCAAACCGCCAAACTCATTGCCACTGAGTTACTGCCAACTCATAGGACAAAATGAAACTGTCCTATAGGGTTTCCAAGGCCATAAATCTGTACAGAAGCAGGTGTCACATCTTTCTCCACAGAGTAGTTGGTAGGTTCAGACAGCTCGTCTTGCACAGCCACGCCTAACCCCTGTGCCACCAGTTCTCTTAAAGGATATATAGGACCTCTGTTTTGTCTCTCCAGCCTCCAATGAATCTGTAATTATTATTTCACATAAAAAGCTTTGGTGGTACTTGTTTAAATGCACACAGAACTAGCAGCAATGCACAGCACTTGGGTGATTTCCCAAAGGAAGAATTACCTAGAAGCATGAGTTAACCAAGTTCTCCGGCAGGCTCAGCTGTTTGTCAGTTTCAACTCAAGGCAAGGAGAGTTTCATAGACTAATAGTAAAGAGAGAAGTATAATAGTAAATAAAGAGGAAAATGTTTACAGTAGGAAGAATGAAGAAACAGACCAGTGGAAGGATAGCAGCATGTGGGCTCTGGAGGGAGGTGAGAGTGGGAGTACTTTGTACTCAGACAGCTCCCAGTGAGCTGCCTTCACTCAGCTGCTGATTGGTATACAGATTAACTATTTGTTTCAGATAAAAACAACTTGGCAGCACTGGAAACTGGACTTACTTTACAGATAAAAAAAAGGTTTATGAATAAATTGTTAGAACATTTATTGTAAAAAATAGAAAGAGGCATACTAAATAGTATCATAATTGGGAATTGTTTAAATAAATTAGGAGAAATCCTTGTAGTGAACCACTCTTCACACTAACACTTCTCAAAGTTCCTTTTACAAAAATTAGCCTCCCATGCCTTTAGATATCTCCTGTATGAAATGAGTACACAATAGTTTTGTGGATTTATTATTAATTTCAAAATAATACTAACTAGGTACTATTTTTTGTGAGAATTATAAAAAATAATCACTCAGATTATTCTTCATAGAACTTAATTCCCTCATGGAGAAAGTCTTGAGGCCGACATTTTAGATTATATTGTGGAGAAGTCCTTCTCCCTGCCTGCCTTCAGGTCATTTCCACTCAGAGTGACCTTTCATAGGGTTTCCGAGGTTGTAAATCGCAGCGGAAGGAGACTGTTCATCTTTTCCCCACAACCAGCAGTGGGTTCATGCTGGTGAGGCATGGCCTGTGGGTTAGCCCCGCGCTCTCTGTGGACTGAGCTGCCAGATCTCCTGGACGAGTGTTCAGTGACAGGACATACTGTTGCAAAAGAACACTTGCCTGGCCGCTGCTTATTTTTGATGCACTATGGTATTTTTGTGTTTTCTTTTGTTTTTCCAGCAAACTAAATAAATTGGAGCAATTGGAAGAACTGAACCTAAGTGGCAACAAGCTGAAAACCATTCCCACGACCATAGCAAACTGTAAAAGGCTGCATACTCTTGTGGCACATTCCAACAATATCAGCATTTTCCCAGAAATACTGCAGTTGCCCCAGATCCAGGTACCTGTATGTGCTGGAATGCTTTCCTTAGGAGAAAAATGCAGCATTGGGAATAAGATTGTTCTCTTCTTATAAGGAATGAAATTAAATACTTCTTTGGAGATAACTGGAAATTGAATGTTTGGGAGTATAAGATGACCTTTCAGTGTTGTATTTATTTTGCTTTGACGTCTCCATTTGTTTTGCCAGTTTGTGGACCTAAGTTGCAATGACCTGACAGAAATCCTGATTCCAGAAGCACTGCCTGCTACATTACAAGACCTTGACCTGACAGGAAATACAAATCTAGTTCTGGAACACAAGACCCTCGACATCTTTAGGTGGGAGCAGTCCCGAGACTGACTTTATGTGTGCCCTCTTAGTCTCATCAGTAGTGTGTGGTCTTCTTAAACTTGGTGGAAGTCTTAATTACGTAAAGGAATAAACTGGGCAGAAAGCTGCCGTCAGACCATTTACCTTAGGGCTTTGGCCAACAAACCGAATCCTTTTTACATGACCAGAATAGCTATTTTAGTTGGCAAAGATCACATTATATCGGAGAGAGAATATAAATTCATTCATTGTACCGTGACTTCATTATTTGTATCAATAATAATAAGTAGACCTTTGACTAAAATGTCAAATCTTGTTGTGCTTGGTTTTCTGTTGACATGAATGGCAGTAGTTGGGTTGGGTTTTGGCACCTCTTTCTTCTGCCCACTTCCTTGCTAGCTCTTGCTTGGCCAGTGCTTCAGCGCACCAGTGTCATTCATTGTATTTGGAAAGTAATCCTGGCCCATCAATAGATTATTTCATAAAAATATAGATTGTTGGGATAATGTTGTAAAATACAGAGGTGGACAAGGTTTTATCTTTCCTCCTTCTACCTTCCACAGCCATATCACAACTCTGAAAATAGATCAGAAACCTTTGCCAACCACTGATTCTACAGTCGCATCAACCTTCTGGAGCCATGGACTGGCTGAAATGGCTGGGCAGAGAAATAAGTGAGTATGTCAGTCATGGATTCTGAGAAAGGAAAAAGTCAGGCCCCCATGTGGGAGCCAGTCTGGTGCTCACAGTTACGTCTGTTGTTCTCCTGTTGCACATAAATCACAGAACATCATCATCAGATGAGATCCTCTGAAATCATGATAAAGTGAGGCAGAAACCACATCAACGGGAAGCCCACACAGCACCCAACTCCCCATCTCTTTGCTAAAGTTGGTGGCTGCTGCAGCTTTATCAGTTATGGCTTGATCCCCATTAACCTCCTTTCCCCTAGAAATAAGATTTGTTGTGATAGCCCCAACCTGTGACAGCATCAGTCTAGTACAGTTCCCTATTTACTTGGGCTCTCCCCAAAAACTATCCAAAAAAAGCATTTGAGTCCAAATCCTGTAACTGATGTTTTCCAGTACACTCCTGTCTGTGCATTCCCAGGCTCACTTTGCTGCAGTGAATAATAGAGCCACCAGTTCAAGTACAGGTATGAGCCTGGTGATCTTGAGCAGAAAGATGCTGACAGTGTTGTTTGCTGCTGTGAGGCCCATTCGCAATCATGGAGACCCTCTCTGATAGTGTAGAATTCCTTCCTCATACATGGTCCTAGGTTGTCCTTCTTACAGGTGCAGGTTGCCAGATCTTTTCTCAGTGCTGCTAGGTTCAAACTGTTGACCTTTTGGTAGCCATTGCACACCCGGGTTCTTCTGCTGACAGTGTTGTTAGATGTCATCAGGAAGACAGTGACTCCATGTTCAACACAATCAAACACTCCCCAGTCCTGTGCCATCCTCAACAATTTTATTTTACGTTTGATTTTATGTTCTATGTTATGAGCCCTTTGTTGCAGTCATTCAAATGGACTGATACAAAAGAGGGGGAAAGATCATCCTCTTTCAGTGACCCTTTGCTTTTACCTAGCATGAAATCCTTCTCCAGGGGCCAGAAGGGACTGGCCCCTTCTGATAATATGTCCAAAGTGTGTGAGGCAAAGTCTCAGCATCATTACTTCTAAGGAGCATTTTGGCTGTATCTGTTCCAAGACAGATACCTATGTTGGGAGCTGTTTGTTCTTCTGTAAATCCATGACTTGTTCATTATTCTTTGCCAATATCATAATTCAGGGGCATCAGTTCTTCTCCAGTCTTCATTATTCATTGTCTAGGCACTTGAAAATACTATGACATAGTCAGGTACACTTTTGACTTCAAAGTGACATCTTTGCTTTTTCAAACTTTCAAAAGATCTTTTGCAGCACATTTGCCCAATACATAACACTTGATTTCTTGGATTGATTGTGGATCCAAATAAAAGAAAATTTTGACAACTTCAGTCTTTTCCTACTGGTCTAGTTGTGAAGATTTTCGTTGTCTTAGTTTTGAGGTGCAATCCATATTGGAGGCTGTCATGTTGGACCTTTTGTCATTAAGTATTTCAAGTTCTTTAGTTCAGCAAGCAAGCATGTGTCATCTGTTTGTCACAGATTATAAATGAGTCTTCCTTTGATTATGATGCAGTGTTTGCCACATAGTCCAGCTTTTAAAATCATTTGTTCAGTATGCACAGCGAATAAATATGAGGAAAGGACACAATCCTGATACATATCTTTCCTGATTTTAAACCATGCTATATCCCTGTTTTATTAAAAATTACTATTTCTTAGTCCATGCATAGGTTCCAAATGAGCACAGTTAGGTTTTCTGGAATTCACATTCTTCATGTTAACTCTCACTTATGTTGACAATGTAAGTTCTCAGCAGTAAAAGAAGGCATTTTCTCTCCAGCCCTGGGCAGCATTGCAGACAGTGTGTTTGTACTGTCTACAAATGTAGTTGGTTGCCCCTTTTCCTTAGGGTGTGTACCTTGAGGTGCTGTTTAATTGTCTTACCTAGGGACTGTTTTCATACATGGGTTGTGATTTATTACTGTTCTCTACTCCTAACTAGTACTTTTAAAAGGAAGGCTCTTTGAAGAATTAATCATTTGTCGATAACTTCTGATGTCCTTTCTCATGTGTCCGTTGTAGGCTGTGCGTATCTGCCCTGGCTGTGGATAACTTTGCAGAGGGGGTGGGAGCTGTGTACGGCATGTTTGATGGGGACCGAAATGAGGAGCTCCCACGCCTGCTGCAGTGTACGATGGCAGATGTGCTCTTAGAAGAGGTCCAGCAGTCAACAAACGACACCGTTTTCATGACTAACACCTTCCTGGTATCTCACAGGTAAGCAGGTGGGTTGAATGATCCCTAACTCAGTTCTATTTTAGAAAACTAAGTTTCTTTAAATCAGAAAGTTATTGTCTAAATTACAGAAACAAGACCATATAGAGATCTTGCACCCACCCACGTGATCTATCTTTCTGTAAGCAGGAGTGTAAAGATTTTTGCCACGGTTTTTGGGTCAGGGAAACGTAAAATTTATGTGGAAAAAAATAAAATTATGTGCAAAAGGGAGGTGTGTATGTATGAGCGTGCGCGGGCCTTGGTATAGTTGAAGGAAGAAGTGTCCTAAATCTTTTGTAAGATTCCAGAGTCAGTGACCTGTGAAAGGTTCACAAGCACTGACCAGATTCATGTATTTGAATACTTCTTGTTGGAGATTTACTCCCCTAATCTCATTAAAGTCTAAACTGCTTAAGAGCAAAAGCCCTAGACAGGGAAAGGCAGTACACAATAAGGAATTGATTAGACATTGTAATTTAACTGATTTCATTAATTTTATTAAGTGGTAAGTGATCCTGTAAAACAGAATGTCTAAAAAAATGGCTGAATGAAAAGCCATAATGGTTTATAAACTTTCATGCATGTGTATATAAAAACTGTAATTTTTAAAAAGGCTTAAATAACCAATTATTGAATTACTGAAAGTCTGGCTTAGTGGCTGTTGGAGCATCTTGCACATCGTTTGGGCTGTATAAAGGCGCTGCACAACCCAGAGGCCATACATTTGAATAATGAACGTTGAAAGAGGACAACTTCAATGTGAACTCGATCTGTCGTAATACTATAAAGGAGAATGAACAGGGATGATGCCATTAGGAGGAGAAGTTATTTTTCAGTATTAGGATTGAGCTGAGGACTTGGCAATGTTAAGGGTTTGAGAAAGAGAATCCAGGAAAGCATCTCTAGAACCAAGGACCATGCCCAGCATTTTTTCATACTGTGTCTTGTAAGTACTGGAGGGTGGGGGTGGGGGTGGCTAGAGGCTGTTGAGCAGTTGAGTAGGTCCTTGCCCCTCAGAGAGACCCTGTCCTGCACCCTCCTCACAAGCTTTCCATGCCCCTTGCTGCAGTCAGTGACAGTCCATCTCCTTAAGGGTCTTCTCTTTCTCTGACCCTCAGCTTTCCCTCCATGAAATCTTTTTCCAAGGACTGGCCTCTCCTGATAACATGCCCAGAGTACGTGAGACAAAGTTCCACCATGCTTGCCTCTAAAAAGTGCAGTGGTTACACTTCCTGCAAGACAGATTTGTTATTTTGACAGGCTGTGGAATATTCAGTACTCTTCACCAACATTATAGTTCAAAGACATTGATTTTTCATTTAGCATTCCCTGGAAACTTGTTCTTTAAAAAATGGAAATGATTGGAACAGTTCCTTGACTACTGAACCAGAAACTCTGGATGTGGGGCCCAGTAATCTGTGTTTTAATACTCCTACAGATGACTCAGATATGGTAAGGGTAAGAATCAAGAACTAGTAAATTAAGTTCCTAGTCTTCCCTTTACCGTGATTTTGCTTTCTGTGGTTTTAGTCACCTATGGTCTGAAACTATTTAAATTGCACGCTGACCTGAGTAGTGTGCTGAAATCTACCAGTTTTCGGCATCCACTGGAAATCTTGGAGTTCCTCCAAGGATAAGAGGAGATAGGAAGATGACATCAGTAACCTACGTTAAGCAGATGACACAACCTTGCTTACTGAAAGTAAGGATTTGGAGTGATTTATAAGATCAAAAGACTAGTCATCAATATGGACTTCATCTCAGTATCAAGAAAACAAAATCCTCATAATGTTAGGTAAAGAAAAGATTGAAATTGCCAACAATTTCCTCTTACTTGGATCAATACCCTTGGTACCAGCAGTCAGGGTATCAGAAGTTGTATTCCATTGTACAATTTTGCAGTCTGGAACCTCTCCAAAGTCCTAAGGAGCAGTGATACTAGCTTGAAGACTTAAGGTGTGTCTGATTCAAGCTGTTGTCCTTTCATTCATTTGCTATGCATCTGAGATCTGGACTAATGAATAAATAAGATGACAGAAGAAAAATAGATACTTTTGAGTTGTGATATTGGAGAGGAGTACTGACTATCTCATGTAGTGCCAAAAGAATAAACAGATCTGTTTAATGAGGGTGCAGGCAAGTGTTTCTTAGAGACAAGGATGATGAATCTTTGTCTCTTATACTTTGGACATGTTGTCAGGAAGGGCTGTTCCTTGAAAATACTCATGCTTGGAAAGGTGGAGAGTCAGTGAAAGAGAGAAAGACCATCAGTGAGATGGATTGATGGGGGGGTGACTGCAGCAGGAGGCTCTAGTGAAGTGTGTCAGAGATGATGAGGCTGGTGGAAGATAGGCTGCTCTGAGTCATACACAACTGAGCGCACATAACAACACAACTGCAATTACAGTTGATGATAAGATACACACGGAAGCAATAAAGATAGATGGCTCTTTGTTCTTCCCTGCACCTTACCCTTTTTGAAAAGTTCTTTATACAGTCCACTAAGAGTGGAATGCAACCTTATCTTCAGCAGCTTCACCCACAGCACCTACAGGTGGGCAAGAATAGGCCGGATCCTAATCACATGGCAGAAAAACAAACCATTTACCTCTGTCCTTCTGAAGGACCATCATAGATAAGTTTGCAAAACTGATGTTTAAAGCACATCCCATTTTTTTCTAAAACTGGCTTCCATGTCTTCATTTTCTTTTCTTTCAAAACAGAAAATTAGGAATGGCTGGCCAGAAGTTAGGCTCCTCTGCTCTCCTGTGTTACATCCGACCTGATACTGCCGATCCAACAAGTAGTTTTGGCCTGACGGTGGCCAACGTTGGCACATGCCAAGCCGTCTTGTGCCGGAGTGGGAAACCAGTACCCCTCTCTAAAGTCTTCAGCCTGGAGCAGGCTCCAGAGGAAGCGCAGAGGGTCAAGGACCAAAAGGCCATCATAACAGAGGTACATCGTGTTTCCTACCAGTGACTTCTACCCCTACATCCGGCATATGCTGTCTTGAGAGATCTAGTTTCTTCCTTGACTTAGTTTAGATAAAGCTGTTGCACTCTCTTACCCCTGTCAGCGAAAGCTAGGGGGGGAAAGCACAACAAACCAACCTGTTGGCATTTCCTGTGGTACCTTATAAACTGTCTCACTCAGAAAGATGATTTGTTGACAGGACATTAGTGGGTGGTAGGAGACCATCCTGAGGGGCAGGTGCTGGTCATTGTTGACCTCCTGTGTCAGAGTAGGATGGCTCCGTGGGGTTTTCAAGGCTGAGGCCTTTCAGAGACATACTGCCAGGCCTGTCTTCCAAGGCAGGTAGGTTTGAATTACCAAGTTCAGGTGCACAACCATTTGTACTACCTAGGAACTTGTTAGTGACTAAAAATATGACAAGGCAAAATTACAAATTTTTAAAAATCCTAATTTGTAATCCTTTAAATGCATAACTGGCATGTAAAATTAATGTAAATACCTCTTTTAGTTTTTCAGACTTACCTGGTTATTTGCAATCAGTAAAGAGTGCTGTATTTTGGCATCACTTCAATGTCAGCTTCAAATGCAAAGCTTCAGAGTATTTTCCTGCTTATTCTTTGCATGGTTTAGTGTGCACAGTGTTGATATTTTTATTTTAAATAATGAAGATCACTGTTTCTATTATATAACTTTCCCCCATTTTAGGAACTCAGCATAATATTCTTGTTTTCAAAGTTACAGTAGCGATTATATGTGAAAAGTTTACTGCAAAGCAAGTTCTGTATAAGGAGAGCCCACTTTAGGGTCCCTCTATTGAAGCATAGACCCCAAAGGTATCATCATAACATGTTTGTTACTATTAAAAAATAAAACAAACTCAGAGTCATTGCTGTCAAGTTGGATCTGACTCAGCTGATCCTCTGGTTGGTTTTCACGAACTCTAAATCACAGAAGAGGAGACTGCCCGTCTTTCTCCCATGGAGCAGCTGTTGAATTCAAACAGTGCACCTTTAGGATAGCGGGCAAGTCTCTACCTACTAGGCCACCAGGGCCCTCTAAGCTTTGAGACCATTGGAATTCTAGAAATATAAGGCATTAATCTCAGATCTTTTAAGAGATGAAAGATAGAATAGAATAGTTTGGCCATTCTGTTTTTCCACTGTTTAGAATTTTTCTTGTGAAATCTGGACCTCGCCCTGCCCTGCTTAACCCTCACTCTCTGCCATGCTCAAGCCCATTGTTTTTGTCATAGGATCAGTCCATCTCTTTCAAGGTTTTTTCCTCTCTTGTTGACACTCTTCCTCTCCCAGTGTTGGATCTTTTTCCAAGAACCAGCCTCTCCTGACAACATGCCCGAAGTATATGAGACCAGGTTTCCCCATCCTTTCCTCTCAGGAGCACTCTAGTTGCACTCCCTCCCAGGCATACTTGTTTGATCTTTTGGCCATCCATGGTGTACATAATACTCTTCACCGACCCCGTAATTCAAAGGCATCAATTCTTCTTCAGCCTTCCTTAGTCATTGTCCAGTTTTCAGAAGCATTGCTGTTGCTGTTCTGTACTGCCAAGTTGAAACTGACCCATAGCTGACCCCCTGGGAGGTTTTCAGAGGCAGTAACTGCACAGGAGGTTGCCCATCCTTCTCCTGTGGAGCAGCTGGTGGATTTGAACCAAGTGCTCGCGGGATCGCAGCCCAGCTTCTTAGTAAAAGGCCACCAGAACTCCAGAAGCATTGTTATGTATCATTGAGTTGCCTGTGACTCATATTGACCCTGCCCTATCCTAATAAGCCATTCTCACTGACTCAGGCAAACCTAATCCCATTGCCCCAGTTACCATGTCAATTAAAAATACCAAGGCTTGGTGCTCGCTTCAGCAGCACATATACTAAAACTGGAACGATACAGGGAAGATTAGCATGGCCCCTGCGCGAGGATGACACATAAAAATACTAAGGCTTGGATCAATTGCACCTTATTCTTTAACTTGACATCCTTGCTCTTTAGCACTTTAAAGAGTTCTTGGACAGCAAATTTCTCCAGTGCAACATATCTTCTGACTTCTTGACTGCTGCTCCTATAGATGTTGTGCACCCAAGTAAAATGAAATTATTGACAATTTCAGTCCTTTCTATACCTATCATGATGTTGCTTATTGATCCAGTGGTAAGGACTTGGGTCTTCTTGATATTGAGATGTAATCCCTCATCCCAGTTGAAGGCTGTAGTCTTTGGTCTTCAGTAAGTGCTTCAATCTTCTATACATTCTGTAAGCAAGGTTTTGTCATCTACATAACACAGGTTATTGATGAGCCTTCCTCCAGACTTGTTGCTATATTCTTATGTTCAGCTTCTTGAATAATTTACTCAGCATACAGATGGAATAGGTATAAAGAAAGGATGCAGCTCTGAGGCATATCGTTCCCATTTTTAACCCATGCAGTGTTCCCTTGTTCTGTTCAGACAAGTTTCTTAGCCTATGTAAAGGTTTTGCATGAACTCAATTAAATATACTATGATTCCCATTCTTCTCATATTTATGCACTCCATTTCATTTTTTACTACTTTGAATTTTCCTCAGTTCATACTTTGTACATTCATTCTCCAGTGGATGTTTGCTGCTGTTTCTTCTCATTTTGTGTCTTGCCACATGAGCACATGGAAGTCCTTGAGTGGGTAAAAGCTTTACTCCGTTCATGGCATTATAGTAGACTCTTGAGTTCTTCCCTAGTCATGTCTGGGTGCCTTTCAACCCGAGGGGCTCCTCTTGTGTCACTGTATTCAACAGTGTCCTTCCGTTATTCCTCAGGTTTCCTGAAACTTGTCCCCATGGGCAGCCCTGCTAGTACGATTTTCCTAACCATCTGATAGCTTTCTGAGTCTTTTCAGCCATAACTCTGCATTTGATGAGAAATAATTTTTCTGATCCTTGGCTTCTCTGAGTTAATGATACTTGTGTTTATTGTATTAATAGTAACTTAAGGATTTGTCTGGTCTGTACATCATCATAGATCAAGTAACTTTGAAACGGCAGAGCCTTTTAGTCACTTCATTCATTCCTTTGAACCATTGCCTATAACCGTCTTTTTAGAATTTCATACATTTGTTTTCATAACTCCACTTCAGGTTATACAGGTTATAAGAAAAAGTTGTAGCGCATGTTATTTTACTGTAAATTCCTAAGCACTGCAATATAGATAGATGTAAAAGCTGCCTTTTTCTCAAATGTTGTGTTCTGCTTCTCTGTAGGACAACAAAGTGAATGGGGTAACCTGCTGTACCCGAATGCTGGGCTGTACATACCTCTACCCCTGGATCCTCCCCAAGCCCCACATTTCTTCCATTCCACTAACCATCCAGGATGAGTTGCTGATTCTGGGAAACAAAGCATTGTGGGAACACTTGTCATACACAGAAGCTGTTAATGCCGTGCGTCATGTACAAGACCCCTTAGCAGCTGCCAAGAAGCTGTGCACTCTGGCGCAGAGCTACGGTTGTCAGGACAATGTTGGGGCCATGGTGGTTTATTTGAACATCGGTGAGGAAGGTTGCACTTGTGAAGTGAATGGGCTAAGCCTCCCAGGTCCTGTGGGATTTGCCTCGACAACCACCATCAAGGACGCCCCCAAACCAACCACTCCCTCCTCCAGCAGTGGGATTGCCTCTGAGTTCAGCAGTGAAATGTCCACCTCAGAAGTGAGCAGTGAAGTGGGATCCACGGCTTCTGATGAGCATAACACTGCTGGCCTGGATACAGGCTTGCTCCCAAGGCCAGAGCGGCGCTGCAGCCTTCATCCAACACCCACCTCTGGGGTTTTTCAGCGCCAGCCTTCTTGTGCTACGTTCTCGAGTAATCAGTCTGACAATGGCCTGGACAGTGATGATGACCAGCCTGTTGAAGGCGTCATAACAAATGGCAGCAAGGTCGAAGTAGAAGTAGATATCCATTGCTGTAGAGGAAGGGATCTTGAAAATTCTTCTACTTTTACAGAGAATTCTACCCCATGTCCTGAGGAACATGCTAGAGGCTTGTTTTTTGGCATCCGAAGACAGAACAGTGTGAATAGTGGTATACTCCTACCAGTGAGCAAGGACAAGATGGAATTGCAGAAGTCTCCCTCCACGTCCTGCCTCTATGGAAAGAAACTCTCCAACGGCTCTATTGTCCCCCTAGAAGACAGCCTGAACCTCATTGAAGTGGCCACAGAAGCACCCAAGAAGAAGACTGGCTATTTTGCGGCCCCAACCCAGCTGGAACCAGAGGATCAGTTTGTTGTACCTCGTGACCTGGAAGATGAAGTGAAGGAGCAAATAAAACAGCACCAGGAAAGCAGGCCGGAGCCCGAGCCCAGTGAAGAGGATCGGACCGAACTCCCGGAGGAATTTGACACGGCGCTGTAGTTCTCCCCAGGCTCAGCATTACTGAGGCTGTGTTGGTGCCGGGGTGGGAACTCCAGAGGCATTTGTGCCTCCATATTTCTCAACCATAGATGAAAGGAATAGAACTCAGAGCCAAAAAAGGTGAGAGCTATCAGGGTTTTGCTCTGCATAAGCTAGTAGCCACTCTCAGTGTTAAGTTTTGCGTTTAACCTGTGTTGGAATTCTCAGAATTGCTGGGAAGGAAGCAGATTTTATTCTGCGTCAGTCCTACCACCTGCCATTAACCCTTTCTCTCCTAGGATAACTTTGAGAATTTGCCTGCCTGGGCAGGAAAGGGACTATTTCTGTGGAGGAAATTACTGAAAATTGATTCCCTTTACTAATTGCTGCTGATGGATCTCTGTGACAGAGAAATCACCTTATATCTCAACCTAACTGATGGGATGTGATGTGACCAGTCACATGGCTTTTCATTCTTCTCTACGAGAATACAGCCTATCAAAATGATGTTTATTGAAAATGTAGAACCAATCAAACAGATAACTTATGTATGTAATGTAATGAGAGCACTTTTCATTGACTGTGAACTTTTTTTTTTTTTAAATCTGCACTCGAGCCAATCTTCTTAGAGGCAGCCTGGCACCTCTGTCCAAGGGAGAGAGAACCAGGTGATGTGAGGGTATGAGGAAGGGCCGTGGGAAAGGGGTTTTCCCGAAGATCACGAGAGGAGTTTGAGGATTGGCCTCTTCCCATCTCAGATGATGGAGTTGGCAGTCCCTCGGGATGTGGGGCCAGGGCTGACACTTCTGTGTCCAAGCCACCTGAGGCACAGCAGGCAGCTCGGTCCGACTGAGGCTGAGGGAGAACAGATGGTGGGTGGGTGGAGCTCCGTGTTAGACTTGCTGCTTCTCTCAGAGCAGAGAGAGGGATTTCTGAAGCATCAGAAGTGAGGTGAGAAGTCACCCTAATTTTTAGCAGCATACTCTTAGGTTAACTGCTTGTCTACCTTGCGTGGTTTCAGAGTACTGGGCTCACTTACCAAGAAGACTGTTCTCTGAGAGGTTCCTTAGCTTACAGAAAACTTGGTTTACTGTGGTTTTTGCACATTCCATGTACTTCTAGCAAAATGCATATCCTGGCGTATTTCTGTTGTGTTGCCTTTCCATTAGATTTACTTAGGAAAATGAATCCTCCTTACTCATACAGAAATTTGGCATTGCAGATTTTACCAAGTGGGAAACATTCTTTTAATTTTGGGGAATACTTTCATAATTAAAAAGAAAATAGCGTGGGGCCATTTTTTAATTTGTTTCATTAGAAGCAAAATCTTAAAAGATAAAGGTGGTATATGTATATATATATATTCCTTTGTGGTTTTTGACGTTTTTGTTATGAAGCAATATTAGAAAACCAGCTGACCTGTCCGCAATGGGTGTGCATTCTTCATCTTCCTTGAAACTTTGTACCCAAAGAGTATCTCAGTGGATAGACTCTTGGGGCAATCTCTATCCCTCAAATGACTGTCTAATATCCAAGCCCACAGAATCTGAATTTGAGTCCTTTAATTGTCAGGAACACTACACTTCCCTTTGTCAAGCTACTGGTCAGCTTCTGAAAGATTGTAGAACTCAGGTCTTTGAAGTAGAGAACATGGGGGATTAAGGGAACTCATGCAAAGTTCAGGTGCTTTTAGAGAAGTAAGAATGACAGTGTGTTGTCACCTTATTTTTATATGAGAAAATGGAGGTGGGGTGCAAAAGAAAAATTCAAGATGGTAGTGATAAATGATGTAAGATTTTCTCCCTAGATAGACAGAACTTTGGACTATGGAATCCTGCTATTATCTAGAAATCAAGATTATTTTAGGAAAATTCCACTTTAACAATACAGTCTTATAAAATTATCATTTATCTGTGAATCTTTTTCTTCTGTTTGTTTCATACCTTACTTATTGGAACCCCCAGGTCTGAAATTATCTTACCAGATAGAAACATACTCACTTTTTACTGAGCAGAATTCTGAAATTCAAAATATCCTTTTATGTGGTAGAAGGTTATTTTTAGGAAATACTAAGTTGTACTGAAACCTTTAATATAGACCATACCAAAACGGATTCTTCTTTATGTAACCTCTTTAAAATCTTTGCCCTGTACAGTTGCTCTGTATGAAAGCAGAGGGTATAAAAGGCCATAGCCACTTACCAAAAATATAATGCAGAACTCTTAAGCTATGAGGTAATATACAGAAATTGTTCACTGATGAAGCTGTCTGATTAGTTGGTGAAATCCAGTAATCTGTCTCCAGGTGAATGTAATCCGCTTCCCAGTACTTGACAGAGAGCACGTGTTTCCCAGGTGGGCAGAGACACTTGATCTCTAGCTGGAGATCTTGGCCTCTGTGTGATTCTCAGGTCTCTCTGTATACCTTCCAGTGAGTAGAGAAGTTAAACTGAATTTCTGAAAAAACACTCCTAGTTGAGAAGAGTTCATGTATCCCATGGACAAGAAAATACACACATCTTACTTAGTAGCCACGATATTCTTAGTTTTATCAAATGGACTGGAAATAGTTTGAGAATTTGAATATTGATAATGGCTACAGTGCTACTATAGTCATTGAGCCACCACTCCGAATACATTTGAGGGCTTTCTTATACTACTGTAGGGTGTATATGTGCAATAAGTGGGTGGATTCGTTTTCCTGGTGTGTCGAAGAGCCGGCACGAGCAGCTTGGTAATCATTGGGTGCTATTCTAATTGCTAGTAGTGAGTGCTATTTTCCTGGAGATGGAGCCAGATTGACTGAATAGTAAATGATCCTCTCCGTGTAGACCTTCAGCAAAAGCAGGTACTTGGAAGCCACAGGCTCACCTTCTCTATCTATTCAATAATTATTAATGAAGAGACCTCCATAAGGGAGCACTTGGCTGTTACTGATCAATGTACCAATTATTAAATAATTAGTCTCCAAGCCATTTGGTGATGTCACAGCATCACTATAGAATTGTCTTGTGTCACTTTTTACTTCCCTCTGGACGGAGCCTGTTTAGATGCTCCAGCCCTGGAGGCAAGTTAATCTTTCTCTCCAGTTAGTGACTTTCGCCCGCAGCTGGGTAAGCACTTCCTAGACTGAGAAAAGCAGCTGCAGTCAGTCCTTCTGCTCCCCGCGTTTGGTGACCATTCAATCAATCCCACATAAGCTCCTTGTGTTCTGAATCCACGGACTTCTCCCCGATGCTCTAAGGTTTTCCCCCGCTGTTGCCAATGGATGTCATCCAGACAGTGGGTTCATATCTTATGGTTTTGTGCAATCATTGTCGTATTGTAGTCCTAAGATTCATTATAGTGTATTTTTGATATTTTTGAAATGTGTTAAATTTTTTAATTCAATAATATGAGCCAGAGCATGATGCAGCAGATTTATTGTTTGTAAAAAAACAAAACAAAACAAAAAATAACAACAATAAACGAAAATAAAATGGAGTATCTTTTTCATGGCTTTGTTTTAAAATGGAGTACTTGTTATTTTACACATACTTTAGCATGGATCTAACTTCTCCCTTAACTCGTATGTAGCTAGAGGCGCCTTTAGATCTTCCTGAATTTTTCTCGCCTGTTGGAACAATCAAGTGAGACCACATTCTAGGACAGTTTATGAAACAGTGAGTTAAGACAAGAACAGATATTTTTCAGTCACGTTTCAGCTGAAACAGCAATAAAGTTTTTAAGAATCATCATATTCTGACGTCGTTGACATGCTTAAAAAAATCTCCCAGACCACAGTCCTTATTTACATGCAGATAATTAGGACAGTCTGCATCTGATGGTGCCACACAGGAGGAAGCATACTGGATTACCCGGCTGTGATGCTTTTCATAAGGTGTCGCTTAGGTAACAGAACTTGGCTGTGGGCATTGGCTAAATCAAGGATTTGTACTCCCATTCGGCCGGACTGTCGATGCATTTCCTGCCACAGTCTCTTGACTTCTAGCAAGATTTACTGCTGCTCACTCCAAGCAGGATCCACGGGGGTTTTCCTGGTAGAAGGAACCTTTTAAAATACGGTTTAATAACTTTGTGGAGCGTCTTCAGTGTTCTGATGACTGCCAGCACCTCCTTTAAAAGCCCAGCTCCTTGACACACACTTCCCTGTCCCAGGTGCCAGAAGCAGAGTTCTCTTCATGGACTCGGCAGTCTCCCCTTCACACAGTCCCAGTGCCCACAGAGCAGGCTTCAGTGTGTCACACAATTGCTTAAATCCTGCCTTTGCTGCTTAGAAGGTTGACAGGCACGTTTCTACGTCAAGGCTCAATTTATTTCATCTGCTAAATGGAAATTACAGTATCTCTCATCATTGTGGGGGAGGCAGGAAGGAAGAAGCCTCCAGTCAGCTCTTGTAAAAGTCTAGTAAAATTAACTTATCTTTGAAATTCAGTTGAGTAACACATTGAGGACAAATGTCTAAACTTTATTTTAGAAGACATTTCTAAGAAAAATGATAAAATATTTTAGGACAGTAAGTTTCAATAGGGTGGCTTCCCACCAAAAAAAAAAAAAAATAACTTAGAAGGGTGGATGGTTAATAATGAGCTTAAAATGGGAAAATGTAAGCAAGGAGCCCTAGCAGACTAGTGCATAATGTATCAGGCTGCTAGCGGAAAGGTTGGCATTTCCGATCCCCCCGCTGCTCTGAGGGAGAAAGACTGGTGGTCTCTTCATAGAAGTTAGTTAGAACTTGGCAGTGGGTTTGGTTTTGTCAGCTGGTTGTGACCTTAAATGGGTTAAGACAGAATGCTTCCTTAGCACAGCACTGTAGTTGTCCACAACCCTCAAAATGTTAACGACTGGGTGAGGCACTCAGTGACTCCTGTGAACCACGTCGTGGTCAATACAACTTGGCTTGCCTCCTCTCCACAAGTCAGAAGCCAGGTTTGGCATTTTGACTGTTAAATGCATGGAAGATACTTGTGTGATTAGTGGGCTGCATTCCAAGAGCCGCTCAAGCTCAGAACAAGGCCATGAAGGCCCAGGCCCAAAGCTGGGTTCAGAGAGAATGGCCAGAGCCCCCATTTTACCCAGCAAAGACAAGGGCTGGTCCAGAATCTACCAGGGGCATGTTTCCAGGATCGAAGGAGGCTAGTGGGGAGGGTTTCAGTCCTCAGGGCTGCAGCGAAGGTTGGTTTTGCTGCTGTGCGTGTCTTGTCTAGCACTTGGTGAAGAGTGGTGCTCTGACCACTGCCTTGAGGCTTACGAGCAGTAGGTCGTGCACTTTTCTGTGCACATGTCCCTCTTCCCCAGTTTAATGATGTAGATTTCCTGTTGGTTATTTTCAGTTTAAGCTTTCTTGTCTGTAAACGTGTAACTCAGGCATTCCTTCACTTCTATATGAGGTTTAGTTTTGATCCTTTGTCTTGAATGGATTTTATAAGAATTACCTACTGAGAAGAAACAGGACAGTTAGGAAAAACAGAACTCTACAATGAGAATGTGTATTTCTCGTTGCATTTGGCATGAACTGACATTTGAGACTAGTAAAATTGTAAGAACAGTTATAAACACTTCGGGTTAAATTCATATAAGAACTTTATTTTTAAGATCCATTACATTAAGAATGGACAGCCAAAAAGGAACAAACAAATACATCTTGGGGAGGGTGCAGCTGGAGTGCTCTTTGGAGGCAAGAATGATGAGGCTTTGCCTCACATACTTTGGACTTGTTGCTAGGACAGTCAGTTCCTTGGAGAAGGACGTGAAAGGGTGGAGGGTCGGCAAAGGAGAGGAAGATTACTGACCAGGTGGACTGAGTGTCACAAATGGCCTCCTGTGTGTCAGGAAGTGTGAGGACGGTGCAGGATAGAACAGGGGTCAGATCTTTTGTTCTTAGGTCGTGATGAGTCATACTTAACTAGATGGTACTTTCACCACCATGTTGCAGAAACCATTAAGGGTACTTCGTATGTCCCTCTGACATCCCAGCCTGCACAGGGCATTGTGGGGGAAGGCAGAAAGGAAAATGCTTCGGGTAAACTTTTGTAAAGTCGAATAAAACCGGATTTTTTAATCCTTGACATTCAGTTTAGTAACACATTTAAGACAAATGTCTAAACTATTTCTTACTATTTAGAGTACTCATGAAAAAATATTTCAGGACAGTCCGTTTCAGTTGGATGGCTTACCACAAAAAATAATAGACATGGAAGGGCGGGCAGATGCAAAAATAAAGCCTTTCTCTCTGCCCAGAATACAGCAATCCTGCGCAGGGCTGTGCCTGCGAAAGCCTCCAGCGAATCAGGATTCCCAGCGCCCACCTCCAATAGAAGACTCCTTGGGATCCGAGGCAGACCCAGTGCAGTACTATCTGACCCTCTTGCTGTGCAGAATAGCTTCTATCTAATGAGTCAGAATGTACTTCAATCTCACAACTGCTTTAAAATCCTTCCCCTGGGTAAGGGAGCTCTCGTGGCCTAAGTGGCAAGAAGCTTCACTGCAATCCCGAAGGCGTGCAGTTCTAATCCATCAGATGCTCTACTGGAAAAGGAGTGTAATCTCCTGTGCCAGTTGGATCTGATTCGATGGTACACAACAAGGAAGAGGGGATCCCTTCCCCTAGGGAAGGTGCCATGTCTGTGATCTGTTAACTCAGTGGTACAAGAACGATCCGATTCCTGGTCCTTCCACCCTCAGCTTTGCAGTCCTCACCTTGCATGGTTTTTTCTGGCTACTCAGCTAGGGCTTTTATACACAGGGTCGCTATGAGTCACAGGTGACTCAACGGCACATACCAAGTTAGCGGCACCAGTTGTTCCCCTTACTGTGGACAGAGGAACACTGCCAGGGTAGAGCCAACCCAATGATGCTGCCCTTGGTTGGAGATAGTCCTCCAGCTCTTATCAGTCAGTGAGCCAGGCCAGCATTCCCTGCTCTTTTTACAGGAGAAGAATGAGAATCATCTAGCTCTATATTGATATGGAATGGTACATTTATGAAACTAAGTATGTTAAAAACAAATCTTTAACAATTGTCTGAGATGCCATTTCAAAGGGCCAGACTTTCTGAGAGGAACAACTCGGCCCTGGCCCTTGAGCACCAGGTCTCAGAGTGTGCCCGACCACGGGTATTCTGGCGGGTCGCTGGCGTTTCCGTGCTGTCGGTGACTGTCCATGTAGTGCTGCTGCTCTCGGTAGCTCCGCAGGGCCAGCACCACGCTGGCACCATACAGAATCACAAGGATGCAGGCGAAGGTGGCTGCCGCCCCGTCCGTGCCTGCCAGCTGGCAGTTCATCCAGGTGAGACCCCTGCGGGCGTACAGCCTCTCTCTCGCTCTGCAGGTGTCTGTGGCGTTGATCTGCAGTGCTGCGTGGAGGTAAATGCCAATACCGACGCAGTAGCCCAGGGCAGCGAGGAGGCTGAAGGCAGCTTCCAGGAGCAGCCACCTCCCAGGCAGTCTTGTCAGGCTCTTGGCTCCTTGGAGTAGGACACCCATGGTGAGGACACCCAGGCCCAGAGAAACAGCCACGCCGCTGTAGATCAGGGGGGCCCGCAGGACTGTGAACTTCTGGTCCAGCTGCCGGACCTGCTCCAGCTCACTGCCCGCAAATGGCGAGTAATTGTTCCCAAATCCACCACTGCTGGTGAAGCTGGCGCTGAATCCGGCAAGGACAAAGTAGGAAGCCACGATACACATGAGAACCATCCCATTCAGTATCACCTCCACTATCTGAACCACACCTAGGAGGAGAGAGAGGGGCCGTTTAACGCTGGCAGCACTTGCCTAGGAAAGGCCCAGGTTAGGCGAGCCAAGTGCCACTCACTGGTTGACTAGACTGGAGGGTCCTGAGCCAATTCCAGTCTAACATCCTCAGATGGTCTCCCCTCCCCTGCCCACAGTGCCTCTATTTAAAGACATCTGAAAAACTTAAGATGTTGCTTTGGGATGTTGTTGCTGGACAGCTGCATTGAAAAACTAAACATTATACTTCCTGTATGTCCCAGCAACCACACCCTAAAGAAATTAAGTTTATGTCCACACAAAACCATGTACATGGATCTTCCTAGCAGCTTTATTTCTACTAGCCGAATATGGAAAATAACCCAAATGTCCTTCAGTGGGTAAATGATTAAACAAAAAGCAGTCCACTCATACCACAGAATACTACACACAGCAATAAAAAGGAAAGAAATAGTAATACAGCTTAGGTAATTATGCTGAGGCAGGAAAAGCCTGTCTCGGGGTTACTTACTATTTGATTAGGTAACAGTCTCGAAAAGATAAAATTACATGGAGAACAGACCAGTGGCTGCTGGTTATCAATGGCTACAGCGGGGAAGGGACAGCGCTGGGAAGCTTTATCATGGGACAGTTCTGTGGTTGCTGGAATCCACACGGGACATCACAGCACAAAATTATATCTACCATCACAAATCAGTCACGTCAGACTGGTGAATGGGGATCAACTGGATTGCACCATGTCAGACCACTGTATTTTGAAACCACACTATATGATATTTAGAGCCCTGTTACCGCTACTATCTTTAGGGAGCTCTGGTGGCCTTGTGGCAAGAAGCTGAGCTGCAATCTCGAAGGCTTGTGGTTTCAATCCACCAGCTGCTCCTCGGGAGAAGGCTCTCCTCTCCTGCGATTTACTGCCTCTGAAAGCCTGCTGGAGGGTCAGCTGTGGGTCACTCCTGACTTGCTGCTACATAACTACTATTTACAACCTCCTGGGAATCTATATTGCAAAATTTACAAATTTTGAAAAATCAAAATTACAAAACAGAAATTTTCCCTCCAACCACCATCCACTCTGTACTCCATCCCCAACTACTTTTCATTGATTTCCAGGGTAATTTAGCAGTGTTTTAAAGAGCAAAATAAAAGCACATTCAAATTTGCATTTTTGTCTCCCATTTCCCCTACTTTTCCCCCAAAAGACACATTGTCTTCACTGTTCTCCACCTTGCTTTTTCACTTCGACCCCAGAGCTGTTCCCAGATGGGTTCCTGGAAAGCCTCCCCACTCCTTGACATGCAGCTTCGGCCTCTGGTGTGTGGATGAATTGTCTATTCAGCTAGAATTCTACAGATGGCCAGATTGCTCCCTTGAGAGAGTCTTACAAATTTAAAGAATTTGCTGTGAGGCAGTGGGAGTCAGTGGCCCAAGGACTTCGTATGTCCTTGCCCAAGGCCGGTTTTCATTGGTTACTGACAAAAGCCCCTGGCTCTTGTTAGATACCACTCCCTCAGTGTTCTGAGATGAAGAATAAGGGAGAAACATGGTTATTGAACGCTGTGTTTGATTTTCACTGCCATGTAATTTTGCCCAAGCCACTTAGTCTAAGTCTTAGAGACAATGTCTGCTGGCCTGTTGTGTCCCATAGAGCTAAGATGAGTCTCGAAAGAAAGTACAAGAAAATGTTTGGGGGAAAAGAATCCTAAAATGTTATATAAGCAGATGGGGATACTCCTTAGTAACATTTAAAAACTAGGCAAGAAATAGAGCATGAAGGAGAAATGGAACTAATAAGGCTTCCTAGATGACAGGAAAGCCCTCTCACACATTAGGGGACATGCTGCACCCCACAATGGTTAGAAACTGGGAAGCTGAAGGCCAGTATCTCTAAGTACTTCAGCAAGCTACTGGGCTGGCGGATCCTGTCTCCTGCTGAGCCCACACAGATTCCTAGGCTGTCCATGGGACACAGCAGTCAAGGGCTCTGAGAGTGGAGAAACTACATTCTTGTGTAAAATGGAAAATAACACCAGACCAAGACTGCCCACTCTCTGCCAGGTACCGTGTGCAGCAGAGAGCATGGGCTGAGCCGACCATCATTCTAATCCACGTACAGAGGCGGCATGCACGTTAGTCTCACCCCCAAAGCAAACCAGAAATACTATCCTACTACTCTCTGGTGGCATAGTGGGCAAAGAGTTTCGCTACGAACCCAAAGACATGCAGTTCAAATCCACTAGCTGCTCCTTGAAAGAAAGGTCCCTTCCCATGCAATTTACAGCCTCTGAAAACCTGCTAGAAGGTCAGCCATGAGTTGGTTCCAATTTGACAGCACGTAACAACAAGCTGATCTCCGGGGGTGTCTTCATTCAAGACCTGAGCTAACTCAAAGGCCATGCCTATTGTTTGGTTCCAGTCCACCAGCAGGTCCGTGGGAGGGAGCTGGACAATCTCCTCCTGTGTGATCTTTGGCCTTGGAAACCCACTGGAAGGTCAGCTAGGAGTCGCCTCTGACTTGTCGGCAGTAAGAGTGACCAGACAGAGAAAACCTCAACATTGTCCAGGTGGTGAGGTCACAACCAGCTCAACACAGCTGCGAGCTGAAAGGGAAAGCATCTGGATTTTGCCAACTACTCTGCTGACCCCAACACTTGTAAGAATCCTGGTCTTCTGCTGAATCAGATGATACCGAGTATGTTGAAGGTCATATGGCCACTGTTATCACAGGTCCTGTCCAAGGCCTGGCCTGGCTTAGCTGTCCATCTCACCCAGGCCCGAGAACTTCCTAACTTGCCATGAGCGGGAGGAAAGAAAAGGGCAACCATGAGTGCTGGCCTTGGAAGAATGGCCTTGTGATTCAGTGCCAACAATCTGCCATGGCTGCGGGGCACAGCTCAACCCGACTTGTAGGGTTACCTGGAGCCAGAGTCAAGTGCATGACAACTGGTTATCAGAGCTGGGTCTACACAGAACGGGACAGTCTTCAGAGAGGGCGCTGGAGCAGTAAGTGGAGACTGAACCATCTCATAGCTGACCGTCCAGCTGCTTTTTGGAGGCTGTAAGTCATGTGGGAGGAGGCTGTGCATCTTTCTCCCATGGAGATGCTGGTGGATTCGAACCTCCAGAGAGGCATGGCCTGTAGGTTAGCAGCACAGACCCTACGGACTACACCACCAGAGCACCCTGGAGATGGAGGAAGAAAAGGGCGTGTTGTCTTTCTGGAGAGACAGCTTTGTGGCTCACCATTTTATACTTAAGTCTAACACGTCTATGTCTGCCTTTGCACTGCGTCCTGAAAGCAAACCAAAACCCAAGATAGGGCGCGATGTTTTCTAAAAGTGACCTGTGCAGTCAAACCACACACAAAGGGGAAATAAAAATTCATTCTCCTCAGAACTAATACTATTAGCACTTTGTTTTCTATTCACTGAGAAGCCCTAGTGGCCCAGTGGTTAAACACTCGGCTGTAAACAATAGTTCAGTGGTTCAAACCCACAGGAGACAAGACCAGGTAACAACAGCCTAAAACCCGCCTGGGGCCATTCCACTCTGTCCTACAGGGAGCATGCATCAGAATTTACTTGATGGCACCTAACAGCATATATTCTTAGAGAAATTTTCTAATCATATGCAAGCACATACTTGGGTTTCCTTTTCTAAACCCAAATGGAATCATCATTTAAATGCTGTAAATTACCTGTATGTAAAGGAAAAATAATATTTTAAAAAAATAAGAGAACCATTACATCCACATTTCATTTAGGTTTGTTGTGGTTGTTTTTTTAAAAAAATGGACTTAGATATAAAACATTGTATCAAGAATATATTTTAATGTTCCATAATTTTGGATGTGATAAGAACCCATTGTGTTAGCCCAAAGTAACAGATTGTTCTATTAGGCAAGATTTTGATCTTTTATTCCAGACGGATGCTGACTTCCAGATGCCGCTTTAATTCCTCCGCACAATGGCATATTTACAAGAGGTACAAAATGCTCATTGAGCTTCCCAAGGCACTTCCAAGGGGCCTGTAGAACAGTTTCTTTGAAGTCCAGGGAATTAATCTGATTCCTCCCACTTCGGCCTACGCCTACCTCCAACTTAAATTTTACAGGAGCAGTCTCTCCAGAAACCCTCTCCACCTCCAGTCAGAATTAAGGACGTAGAAGGAATGGAAAGTTCAGCCTGGGAAGGGGGAGGAGTGGAAATTTCTAACCAATTTGTTTAAGACAGCTACATTTAAAAAAGAGAAGCTGAAATGCTGTATCTGTGTGACTTTTCATAAATTTTGAAGATAAGGTTCTTCAAATCCCCTTGACTTATCAAGTTGTGCTCTTTGCTCCATGTGCCTTTGAGCTTTGGGGGCTTGGGCTCCAGGTGAGGTAACCGTGGTTACCCAGCGAGGTTTCCAGGGACCAGGGAATGGTGCACGGCGGTGAGGAGCCATGTCCAGGCGAGGTAACCGTGGTTACCCAGCGAGGTTTCCAGGGACCAGGGAATGGTGCACGGCGGTGAGGAGCCATGTCCAGGCGAGGTAACCGTGGTTACCCAGCGAGGTTTCCAGGGACCAGGGAATGGTGAGGAGCCATGCCCGCTGTGCCCAAGTCGGCTCATCAACTCTTGTGAAGGGGAACAGCTCTGTCACTTGAAAAAGCTTAAAACTCCAACATTTCTGCTGGCTTTCCTTTCAGCGTCCTGACTTTTCGGTAACCCCTGACAGCCAGGATGGCCCCAAAGGCGAAGACCACGATGCCCAGGGCAGCGAAGATGGCCACTCCTATGTCTCCCCCATGGAAACTGCAGCTGAAACCGCTGTAGCCCTTGCTCTGGTACAGCGCTTCCCTGTCTTTACACACAGGGGAGTCGTAGGCGGCGGCGAGGTGGTGGAAATAGAAGTACAAGGCCGGGATGTACGCCACAGCAATAAGCACGTCCAGGAAGCCCTCGGCCACCAGGAGGAGCGGGCAGTGCCACGGGGCCCGCAGGACGCCCAGCACGAT